TTCTGACTTAGTTTGTTTTTTAAATATTGTTCTTCATCAATACGAATTAACCACGTTGTCTGCTAATTTTTGAGCTGCATCTCTGGTTACTTTAAAAAAAAATAACGTTGTACTCTATTATTCCATATATTTTCTACAATCACTCGTTTCTGGTTTACAATTAAAAAAAAAAGTTGCGGCTTCCCCGTCCCCGCATGCAACCTCAAATGCTATTATTCGGTATTTTTTTCTTGCAAACTATTTGATTCTTCATTCCATCATCTAGTTACTGTAACAATTTCTTTCTTTTTTTTTTTTGTAAGAATTGCGACACTTACTTTCCTTTTTTCAGGTATGACTTGCAGTAATCTTTCGCTTGGTATTTCATGCTTCTCGTGCTTCTATAAATTCTGCACCGGTAAAAGGATTCATCTTGATGTTAAGCTCTTTAAAATATTTTTCTTACAACATTTTACTGACGTTGTTCCATAATATTTGTGTAACACTCCTAATATTTTCCGTTCATTATTTTCGTGGCAATTTCCAGCTTTACAAAATATTTGCCGAATTCATTGCCTCTAAATTGATTACTACGTACTATTACAATATAATCACGCACTTTTTTAAAACCCTCTTCTCTTTCCAGTTTAGAAAAATAACTCGTTTCAAAATTTCAGTGCATTTATGAAAAGGTTATTTACACAAAAAAAATCTCACATTTTTATGGCTCAAAAAATTTGTGCGCACTTCTCTCGCTGTCAAAGTGACCGAATCGTCATAATATGAGATTTTTTAAGTGGATTAAACTATCTATCCAAAATACGAACATTCAGACAGGTTAAACGTTGGATATAGTGTCAAAGGAATAGACAAGATTATTAAGAAAATTCTCAAAATAAAATCTGAGAAAAATACTTGTGCACGCTACGTTTTAGAAAAAATCGCAAACATTTTTATATTTGCATATTTTTTAAGAAAAATAACTCTTACCTCTTCTTGTGTTTTAATTTTGTTTTAGTTTGATTGAAAACGATGTCATCTCGTTTTAAGCATTTTACGTCAAACTGCACTAAAGCGGTATCACAAAAAGAGAACCAATGGATTTCATTACTTTTTAAAAGTGTACTACAGTTTTGAATGTTTGAATTTAAAATATACATATTTTACCTACTCAAGCGGTGATTAGTAGCAAAAAAGCTCTGTATGTAGTTCAGGATTTCAATAAGAAATTAAAACCAACACACGAACAAATTTCATTAGAAGAGATTTTATGCTTGCAGAAATTATAATGAAAACTTTGATCATATACTCAAGAAAGCTTTACTACACGTAGGCGCCAAGAACTTCGTTCCAACCAATGCGTGATTGAGGCGATGCACTAAAATAATCTAATCTGATTGCAAATATATGCAACTACACATATGCAATTCAATTTTTCATGAATGTCATCTGACTAACGTCACAAAATTATATTCAGTCGTATCCACAGCCAAACGCATTGCGCAACAAAATCAATTTTGGCTTTACTTTTCGACAATTTCAACATATTCAATACGTGTAAAACGGCAATATGCAGTAACTCCATTTTTTAAATTGCGGCTTATCAATATCAGTAAAACGCTATGTAACCAAAATAACCCCAATATTTCGTAGAAATAAAAATGTAAGCATTTACAGAAGTTTTCGATTTAAAGAGGGAACAAGTTTGAGGAATACGAGACATGTAATTTATTTCTGCGGAAGCCAAAAGTTTGTTGAATGCTAACCAAATGAATGTATATTAAAAGTTATACTTCAATTTGCGGGAGTTTACAGCTAACAGGTAATTTTTTTAAATAAAAATATTGTGTACATGATACATATTTTTTTTTAATAAAATTATAAGTATCTGAATAAATCCTAATATTTTTTATAGTTTTTAAAAGCGGAATAAGAATGAATGTTACTGTTTTAAAACGTTTTACTCTAAATCGGTAATTTCATATTTAACCGAAAGTACCACAGGTGGAAATAAAAAACTGGGGCACTGAAAATTTTAATATTGTAAATTGGTCTTCAAAAAGCCAATCAAAATAAAAATGTTACGTTGCAATCACATGTCATAAAATGATATTTTCTTGACATGAACTCAACTTACACGTTTTAAATTTCTAATTTTCAAGATTATCTAGTTACCAGTTTTTTGTGTCCACCGATGGTACAGTTAGGGACACGGAATTTCAAACGACCTGTCAATCATAATGACAATAAGGTATAAGACTACAATGTTTTTAAATGTCAGAAAGTTGGTTGTCGTTTGAAATTCCGTGTCCCCAACTGTATATACACGTACTATAACTCTTATTAAACGAAATAAAACGTACGTTTATGAGTAGTTTTTGGGATTATTTTACTCAGAGAATATGGTGGTAGAACTCGGCTATTTAATTACAGTATTGCATGATTTGAAAATTAAAAATTATGTTGGGTGTTACCAGGTCAATACCGTAAGTGTAATTTAATTGTTCACCATTGTAAAATTATCATAAAAACCATAAAAAAGGCCATTAGTATTCGGAAATATAACAATATTAACACTACAATCTTCATTCGACATATATATAATTTATTTTTTAATTCAAAATTTAATGATCCTATTTTGCAAAGATACAATACACCAAGTTTTACAGTTTATATAATTTTACTGTCCTATTGTAGAAATTTAGCGAAAGAACAACCCTACTTATATTCTAATCATCACTATTTCATAACTAGTAGACATTTAGCAATTACAAAATAGACTAGTAAGTCAAGGAACAAGGTTTTAATTGCGTAACTTTATTAGTTTTATTCTACTGTCTGCGTTACCTAAAATGTGAATTTTGTGTGAATTATAGATTCAATATAAATTGCAGAGATTACGTAAGCGTATCCGTATAATTAATTAATTAATAGAATATATTTGGTTCAATACGTTTAAATAAACCGGAAATAATGGACTCTCAAATGTTAATGTAGACATTGTTTAGCCGTGATATTTATCATATTCTTCCAGATAACTCAAATAACACAACAAATGTTAGTGCAACAGTTTAACTGTCACTAAAAAGTACTTTTCTTGATTTGTAAAATTACTGCTTACTGTAGTAAAAGGAATACCAAAACTTCGCAAATTCTATACCGGCCAAAAAACATAACGAATGTAAATTCCTTAAACAAATTTACCCTGTGTCTTAAAAGGTTTGATTTTAGATAAGGGTTTTTTTTTACACGAATTTTGTTATCCTTGTACAAAACTGGTCTTACGAGAATAAAATAAAATTAAAAAATACTTGACATCTGTTTTATTATTCTAGTTGTCCCCACAATGTTCACTTTTATGATGTGATCGCCCCTCCTATGGGTCTGACTATTCGCTCTACTCTTTCAATAAACTCACTGAAAACCTTTCCGGCTTCACTCATTCTTTTCACATACATTTATTGACTATCGATATTTTACAGCAATTTTTTAAGAAAAACATGTTTATCGCAAATTCACTGAAAAATCCAAAAAATTGATATCTATTGTTGATATTTTTCAAATGAACGTGACATGCACTAACACAAGATGACTGCATATCTAAACACTAAATTGTCTATCAAAACCGATTTTATTATTATATATAAAAAATATATATGTACTAACGGAACAACTTATCAGATTTCATAAAAAATATGCACTGTCGGACGTCAAGAAAAAAAACGTCATTGAAATTTTCGCCTCAAGAGGAACATTTGGCAATACAGTGTGTGGGTAGATTGCGTCAAGACTTCCGATGCTTACAATCTATCCAAAAATTACACTTGATAGTGTGTATTTATGGCACCCAAATTACCGACAACGCTGTATTGATTTTTCAAAAGGTTGCTAGACTTTAACCGCGTCCATACTAGCGAAGTTATCTATATCAAATCATGCTAGCGTTTATCAAAGAAATACAACGAAAAATGCGAAAACGCATACTTCTAGTCTGAGGTTCGCAATTAAGACTTACTGCCCATTCACAATGGACATAAGGCATAACAAGTACATAAAGCTTACATAAATACATAAAGTTGAAACGATGGAAAACGCGTACCCCTGTTCACAGTGGACGAACGTAGTTCTTATGCTTATGAACGTTTTATGTAATCCTTGTGTGCGTACACAAAGTTGAAATAAGTTCAACTTTGTGCACGAATTATGTCAAAATTATGTTAAAATCTAGGGACTTTTGAATGCTGCAATTGAATTCCCTTTCACAGTTGGCACTTCGCACTTCACACCTTTGATTATATTATATAAATTATAATGAAAGCTTCACATTGCGAGTCTGTTCTGTACTGCGAGTTGTCAAGTTCGAATATCGTATGAAATTGTAGGTTAGATATTTTGATTGACTCAGTTTGAGGTTAGCCGTTTCTATGTTTAGCCGGCAGTTATTCCGTTCTGCGTTTGCGCAGTTTAACAATTCTTACAGAGTTCACTCTGTCCACTGTGAACGTAGATAAGCATAAGCCAGACACAAACCAAAAACGTAAATTATGTTATGCGCTCGTTCTTATGTCTTATGTCCATTGTGAATGGGCAGTTAATATCAAATCCACACTTAGTATTAGAATTTAATTTCTCAAAGTAGCAGTAAAAATATAACTGCTTGCCAAGAGCGACTTTAGTTACTGTCAAATAAAGTTAGTAACTCTAATACAGTAACACAGTTATAAAAATCGAAGACACGCCATTAACAAAATAATTGTAAAAGTTGATGCCTTGAAAGTCATATACGTATTTGAAAAATTAAATGGGTGAATTACTAAAACTAGAAAAAACAAAAGCTCAAGTTTATGTACAAGAATGGGGCGACTTCTGGCCTATTCTTCAATAATACATAAGAATTTAAAATCAACATTTCAAATTAAATTATTCATATGAAGTTAAATTTTTCTTAAGTCAGTAGCGTGCAAGGATGAAATTTAATTTTATAAACTAAACGATATAAAAAAATTAATTATTGTACTTACTGGTCCTTGTCGCATCTGCATTTGTGGCGTAAGAGGTTGTTGCAAATACTGTGGATGCATGTGCATTCCTCCTGGCATCTGATTGGACAAATATACCAAATGTTCAGAAGGAATTGATTTATTCTGTCCTAAGTCATAAAGTCCAGGCATTGTGGAACTTGCCCCAATATACGACATGCTGTTGGGAGGGGTACCAACTTTATTGTTGACTGGGTACTTCCACTTGTCATGATTCTGAAAAAACATATCATACAATTTGTCAATAAATATCGCTTCAATTGGAAAAAAAATCAGTAAAGAATTTTCAAAAATTAACAAAATGGTCTTCCAGTATCTCTAAGCAGAATAAAAGAAACCTTTTTTGTCATATTTAGGGCCGGTTTATAGAACAGCGAATTAAATATTTAATCCTCGATTAGTTTAACAGAGGATTAAAATGTGGAATATGAGGCCGTGATTGGTTAAAACCTGCACGTTGCCTAGCGACGAACCTCAATTAAAAGTTAATCGCGAATTAACTTTAACTTCGGTTTCTGTAAATTGGGTCTTAATAATTTAATTACTTATAAATTTAAAATCCTCAGCTTGGTGAATTGCAATGAATAGCACTGACAAGATCCTTTGTCACATATGACCACAGTAGCTAACTGTTTAAAATGACACACTAATAAAGCATACAATTTTTTTTGACTAGTGAACATAATAGTTTTGCCATAAATTTCAATGTTCTTCTTTCTGCTACTATAAATGTGATTAAAACATATGTATCAAAACTAATACTTGTTAATCTAAACCCACACTAGTGTAAATTAATTTTTTAAACAAAAAATGATTGCTTATAAAAATAAAATTATAAAAAAAGCATGAATTAATGTTGAATTTAATTCAATGGTAAATCAACACGAACTTTTTGCAACACAGCTCTCCTTGAAAAACAAATATTTAAAGTACGTTGAATTTTTACATAAATTTAAATGCGAGCATCAGAATTAGAAATAATTACCAAAAACACTTACATGGCGAAAATATTACCAAAGTTATTTTTACCCTCTACAGTTCTAATGCTATTCTATAATTACAGCTTTCCGAAAGCGAATTCTACAAACACATTCAAATCAATACGTTAACACTTTCATGAACAATAATCACAGAATAAATAACTTTCATGCAATGATCTTTCATCTCACAGCATATTATTATTTATCAATAAAAACTGTTAATGAAGTAAGTTGGCATTTAAAAGACTCATACAAATAAATACTGGATTCATTACAATAATCAGTAATAACTTTGTATTAACTAAACATCTATGACCAAAACCACTTTTTTTTTTGAATAGTAAATTAATATTCTCTAATAAAATTTACTTGCCGTGTACTTAAAAATGAAATGTTTACCAAACACAAATGTTAAACATTTAATTACTTTTGCTTTTATTTATCTCAGCAGCAGATGTAAATACAATACATCTTTGAATTTTTTTTTATTTTGAATTTATCTTTGTACTCCATACTGCTGATACAACCGATATTTGCTCAGAACTGCAGTGGTTAGAACACTTATTCTTCTGTGTAAAGCTAAGAAAACCGGTCTATACTAACAAACTACAAAATCTCACTCAAGATAAGAAAAGCACAACAAATAAGACACTAACATCAATAATACTGTCGTCTCCAAGAGCCCAACGCAACTGTTTTGGTCCAAATGATGGGAATTCTGGATCTGGTGGTCGTTGGAAAACATAACCAACTGCAGCATCATCTTGAGTGCGCTGAGGCCCTCTGTCCATTTCCGCTTTTACAATTGCATCTCCTTCACCGCTTCCCAGCCACTTCATTGGTGTCACTGCAACAACAATGTTTGATAAGCATTCGAAGTTTAAGATTTTGTGTTTACGATCACCTACAGAAAGGTTGTGGATATGTCAATACCAGTTTATGACTGCAGTATTTTACCGAACTGCCGTTTTGGTATAGTTTGCAAGGACACGTACGTTGCAAAATTACCAGGAATAATCAAACTGATGGACAAACTAAACGCTGAATCATAATATATTTACACAGGATTATGTAGTCCATTTTAAGTTTATCTCTGGTTAATTATTTAGGAACACTGCGCCGTTGAAAACTCAAACTCGGTTTCATGTTACAAATAATTCGTCTTAATTTCATCCGAAATTGTTAAATCATATCTGTAGGAGTTGTTAATTAATTTCATTTTAGGCAAGTCATTTTTATCGAGGTTCGATGGGAGTGGAATGACAGTTGTTTACCAAATGACATTTCAGAATCCCCGGTAACAAACAAATGGCGTTGACATCAACAACACAAAGAAAATCAATTGAAACCATGCAAAAAATAAATAAAACGTCATTAGTTGAGTGAATGAAAGTACCTATTGTTGTTTGATGAGTGCAGTATTCTTCAACAGAGTGTATTTTCTGAAATTTTTGACGTTCCAAGAGTCGGCGTCGGCTTTGTTAAAATTTTCTTAGGAGACACAAACACAATTTTCAATTGAGATTTATACACTATAATCGAATTCACAACACAAAATATTACCACTAACTATACAAGAAACTATTTACAATTTACAAAATGTACAATATTCGCTTATTACGCCATTTATACAGCTTGATTTTAGCAGATTTAAAAATGACAGCAAATTCTGAATAAAACGCTCGCCATTTTAGTTGTCGCCCGCGCACCTCGAAACGACGGTTCATGCGCGGGTAATTTGAATTTCCGCAAACTGAGCAGGAAATCAATCGTAGGGGAGAAACCGCATTTTGAACTCCAGGTATGATAGCACTCTGGTTCAATAACAGTAGTAACACAAAATATAATTCAGTCAGAATTTAAATAAATATAAATAACACTGTATTTCTTTAAGTTTTTATTGCCTTTTTTTATAAAAAAAAGCAACTTAAATTTTACACATTGCAGAAAATCTTTGTAACTCAAATATAATTTACTCTCTGAAAAATGTCTCCAAAGTCGGATAGGATGTATGAAGTTATTCGCACAAGTTACCCTTTCTTCTGTTTATCCTAATTTTGTGACTGTTTTGTTTAGATTAGACTTCTGTATTAAACAAAAATAACATTTTCCGAAATTTATGGTGGGTAGAAAGCGGATTTTTTGAAATTTGCATATCTGTTAAATTTTGCATATAACTGCCCATTCACAATGGACATAAGACATAAGAACGAGCGCATAACATAATTTACGTTTTTGGTTTGTGTCTGGCTTATGCTTATCTACCTGTTCACAGTGGACAGAGTGAACTCTGTAAGAATTGTTAAACTGCGCAAACGCAGAACGGTATAACTCCCGGCTAAACATAGAAACGGCTAACCTCAAACTGAGTTAAAAAAAATATCTAACCTAAAATTTCATACGATATTCGAACTTGACAACTCGCAGTACAGAACAGACTCGCCGTGTGAAGCTTTGATTATAATTTTTATAATATAATCAAAGGTGTGAAGTGCCAAGTGCCAACTGTCAAAGGGAATTCAATAGCAGCATTCAAAAGTCCCTAGATTTTAACATAATTTTGACATAATTCGTGCACAAAGTTGAACTTATTTCAACTTTGTGTACGCACACAAGGATTACATAAAACGTTCATAAGCATAAGAATTACGTTCGTCCACTGTGAACAGGGGTACGCGTTTTCCATAGTTTCAACTTTACGTATTTATGTAAGCTTTATGTACTTGTTATGCCTTATGTCCATTGTGAATGGGCAGTAAGTCTTGATATTTAAAATGTGCACGAATCATGCTAGTTAGATGATTATATAGTCGCCTCACCACTAGGAATCTGAATTCTTATATTATCATTAAAATTTCGATGATTTTTAAAACAAATCCTAATAACAGTTACATAAAAAAAATGGAAATCTTTTAATGCGTCATTTTAATTTCACTGATACGGAACATTATCCATAACCACTGCCACTTATCTATTTAGAATAGCCAAAGCATGATTTAGCTGGCATCCTCCTAATTTTGCTAAAAAAATTAAATACTCATCCTGGGTACTTTTCATCCCGTTTATTAGAGGTCTCATCACGATAAAATTCGGGCATGAAAAACAGCAAATATTTTTCCTCGGTGGGTTTGCAGAATACATCCTACAGGTTAGATGCAAATCACAATGTTGAAAAAGTTTTTTTTCTTCTTGCAGATTGGTGTCGTCATCATTTTTCCAGAAGTAATCTTCAGTCAGTGTTAACAAAATTTGCGAGCAATCCCAGATATAGTTTTTAAGATTGTCAAATTTGTTTGAGCAATATATTATTTTTTTCTAATCAGTAAATTTAAATTTATTAATTGAATTACATAATACAAAGTTATTAACGAGAAGCTCTTCGCCTAAAAAATTCAAAACGCAACCAATAATACAATTAAATAACAGTCTTTGATATTTACTAGCACTATTTGTTTTAAGTAAAACATGGCTGTTTGATATTGATAATTTCCAAATAAACGTCAATTATTATCTTAAAATCAAAATCAAACAATTCAAAACAAGAGTCGTCAGGGTATCACCTGTATGGATAATGTTCTCATTACACCCGTGAAACACTCATCATAGATTGAAATTATATCAGTTTTTTCCTCGTTTGAATACACTGCAACAGTCCTGCAGAAAAGTTAATTTTAACACTGTAGTATCTAACCCTACGTGGTTTTGTGTAACCACTATGTGGTTACACAAAACAAATAACTATGTTTGACTTTTTTTTTAATGGTATGAAATGTCAAATATTGTTTTGAAATTATATATTTGTGGTAGCGTCTTGAATTTTTTAGGAATGGAGCTTCTCGTTATTAAGCCTGGATACATAAATATAACACAAAGCAATAACATATCCTGAAGTTATATTTTCACATAAATTGACCTACTTCTTTACTTTTTTAGATGAAGTTGTAATATATGTTATAAAATGATTTATTAAGTCTTTATTTCCTAAAATAATTGCACTGCTGCTCGAAAATTTTAGTAAAATCAGATTTTCTGAAATATCTTAACATTTTATGGCGTAGGTGGTGTGCAACATCAGCAGTGACAGTGACTGACGATGTATTTGCAGCTTCTGCGAAATAAATAGCAGAATTTAGCATTCGACCTGAATTATTGGTTGCCTATCCACGAGACAGTAAATATTTAAAAAGCTAATTAGAAAGTTATAATTTAAGATTTCTGACCATGGAGAAAATAATATACTCTCCTAAACTATTTTATTCTTTTCCCCATGTTTCTGACAGGCGATGACGAGTAATCACCAGTCATTATAACGAAGCGACAAAATTCACGAAACTTCAACGCTAATAATTTGATGAACAATTACCTTGTTTAAATTACAGGGGAGATGGTCATAGAATAGATCGTTAAAAACCACTACATGGTGTAGTTATGAATTACATCTTTGGTATGCCTGTTTTTGATAAGCGTTTGCGCCCTTCGTAAATATTATTATCATTAAAATGCCAATTGTACCCGGAGAGGACAGAATATATTCATTCTTTCATTATTGCATTCAGAACTTTAGGAACAGTCTGTGTGACAGGCAGTAAAAATTGGTCTAGAGTTAATTAGATAAAACTTCCCTTGCCTCTTAAGTACATTTGAGCAAATATAGCTTCTTTGAAAAAAAAAATATAACACTCTAAGTTAAAATAAAGATATGTGTGGATTCTTAAAGTAGAAAACATGAAAGTAGCCCTAGTATTAGTAGTGGGTCAGGTGGACCCTATTACAATACTTCTTTAGCTTACACTTGGGAAGTAAAAATAAGGCTAGATGAATAAATCTCCAGTAGAGAAACATATCATTTTATTAAAATTTAAAAAGGATTTACCTAGCAAAAATTTGAGATAATAATATCACAGTGATTTTGGAGATGAACCATTACATACTCCTATAATTGTGATTTATGAATCCTTATTGAGTTTTTACCCTAGACATTCAGATTTTGGCAAAAATGTCCAAATTGCATCATCACACTTTATGGCAATACATATATGTAAGACCTGCGTGCCTCTGCAGTAAAAATACTGCGAAGGCCGTAGGTTTAATTGACTTATGGGTCAGAATTTTTTTTTTATTGATCAAATCAAGAACGATTCACCCGATTTTCTCGAAAATTTGAGATTACAGTAATGTTGCACTCGCTTATATTTAATAATAATAAGATAAGAATTAATAATAACTATTTACCCAGAAATAATATTCAGAACGTTTTGCTCCATTGTAGCTTAATTAATAATTTTAGACACCTCTTTTGTTTTAAGGAAATAAAATTATTCAAATTGCTTCTCTTACTCAAGTCAACTAGTTTGCAGTGGCGGCTCGTGACCTTTTGAAATGGGGGACACAATTTGATTGATGAGTTAAATATGAAGATATAAAACAGGTTGTTATTACCAATTAATAGACGAAATTGTGTGACGGAAATAAATACAAAAATACATTCAATAAAAATAAAAAAGGATTTCTCCACATACCTTTTTGCCTTCGGTCAAAATTTTACGTTCATGGTATCTAAAAGTTCATTTTGGACAGTTTTAGGCGTTCCTTTAAAAACCGTTGCGTCTTTCAAATGATCTGATAAAGTCCAATTCAGCCATAAAGTAAATCAGACCTCGGAATGTACCTGGATTTTGTGATTCCCTACTTTCCTCCACAAAATTTTATGCACATTATCAATCGGCGTAATATATGGCGATTTTTGTCGACCCTTGCCTTATGTGCCCGAATATTATTAATATAAGCGGTGTGTAGTTGTTTCCGAATGTCTGTATTACTGAGAAGATTATCCAAGAATATTTATCATACGTATTCGCGCAGAATGAAAGAGTAACTCAATCCTGCCGAGCGTTGTCGGAACGGGACCACAGTCCAGCTGAATTAAGCGGCTAGGACGTGACGTTTCCATGGCAGCGGTGTAAACAACACGTCTAAATCAGCCATGATTCGGTCTCTGTTCCCGGATTTTATCAGCATTTCATCAGATATAACATATCACATATCCAAGACACATCTTTAGATGTAAGGGGATGTAAGTTTTCATACATTTTATACAAGTCGAGTGAGATAAAAAAAATAGTTTTGATAAATATGACACAAATTTCCGGATAATTTTTTAACTATTGAAAATTACTATTTTGGAATGTCCAATGTGTTTGTAGACGTTTTAATTTGGAGGGGGGGCACCAGCCACCCCTGCCAGTTTGTACGTGCTTAATAGTCGCATTCTTTTGATGAATAAAGATTAACAATCGGAGTTAGCATGTTCTGATAATAATATATTTTCCCATTGGTTATCTGCTTTAAATATATATGTATTTAAAAGTATCTTATCTGTGGGCAGAGGCTTGGGGAGTGTTATTTATGCCACTGAATACCATGCGTCTGTACAGTTCACACATATCGTGGTTTTAAGTTATAGAGGTTGTTATAAAAAAATAAATAAACTTAATTCTTTTATAACCAGTTCAGTAATTTCGGACATTACAGATAGATAAACAACTAGGTAGTCACAGAAAACCAAAAATGGAAACATACATTTTCCTATTTTACATAATATGAAGCAAGCAGGCAAGATTAAATTCGTCAAAACGATTCTACTCCAATATTTTCTTTGGTACTGCTGGGGAAAATAAAAGACAGTAAGAATTGCAG